AAGGGCTCCCGCTTCACACACTCAGAGAAGTTCACCTTCCGTCTGGTGGGTGGGCCTGAGGGGGCGGTGGGCTTGCGGGTGGTTGCTTTATGTGCCAACACCATACCTTAGCCACCCAGGTGTCTGTGTTCCCAACCAGGTGTGGCCTCTCCAGTCTAGGGGCTGGTGCTCAGCGGTCCCCTGGCTTCTCCAGGACTTCAGTGGAGAAAGGGTGGAGGGTGGGAACCATATAAGAATGGAAGGGTGTTCTTTTTAAAATATATATTTTATTGATTTTTTACAGAGAGGAAAGGAGAGGGATAGAGAGTTAGAAACATCGATGAGAGAGAAACATCAATCAGCTGCCTCCTGTACACCCCCTACTGGGGATGTGCCTGCAACCAAGGCACATGCCCTTGACCGGAATCGAACCTGGGACTCTTGAGTCCGCAGGCTGACACTCTATCCACTGAGCCAAACTGGTCAGGGCTGTTCTTTTCTTTCTTTCTTTCTTTCTTTCTTTCTTTCTTTCTTTCTTTCTTTCTTTCTTCTTTTTTTTAAAACATTTTTTAATTGATTTTTTACAGAGAGGAAGGGAGAGGGATAGTTAGAAACATCGATGAGAGAGAAACATCGATCAGCTGCCTCCTATACACCCCCTACTGGGGATGTGCCTGCAACCAAGGTACATGCTCTTGACGAGAATCGAACCTGGGACCTTTCAGTCCATAGGCCGACGCTCTATCCACTGAGCCAAACCGATTAGGGCTGGACGGGTGTTCTTTGTGCAAACTCCAGGCTTCCCAGGAAGTTTCCTCTGGGCCCTCCTTGGATGTCACTCAGAGGGGCACTCGTCCTTCCCATGGGCAGCTGGGGCTTCAGAGACAGGGCGGGTGAGCAGGAGCTGTCAGGATCAGGGAGGTTTGTTTGTGAGCAGACACCCTAGTCTGAGGTCACAGAGACTGCCTTGATCCTCATATGGTCAGTCTGATAGTCACCAGCTGCTAAGTGGGCATGGGTATGGCCACCAGCTGTTCAATGGGAAGGTGATTGTGGGGGCTGTTGAGCTGGGCTGTGGGGAGCAAGGCCTTCCTCGACAGTAAGATGCTCCTTCTCCCTCCCCCAGGAGCCTGAGGCCCAGGCAGCCCAGGTGTCAGAGGTGCTGGCCACCTCCCGGTGGCCGGAACAGGTGAGCAGAGCAGCGAGGCGTGTCTGAGGCGTGTCCTGGCCCCTTGTCTGTCTCCTGGGCCTGACACCCGACCCTGACTGACTGTTCCTCCCAGGACACATGGGCAGCTCAAGAGCAGGAGCTGGAAGCCCTCCAGGAGCAGCTGGAGGGCGTGAACCGCAGCATTGAAGAGATCGGAGCCAGCATGAAGACGCTGGGACTCGGCCTGGTGCAGGTGCGGGCGGGGCTGTGTCGGGTCCAGTCACAAGTCCGGGCTAGAGAGCTTGGGGGGCGGGAGGGGGATGAGAGGTACTCCATAGAGGTCTGCAAGTACAGAAGGATTTATAGGGGCCTTTAGGGATGTGTGGGCTCTCGAGGGTTCAGGAGCATCGTCGGGGGTGGGAAGGGGATGCGTGGTTCAGGGCTTGTTGGACCCGTAGGGGTGAGAGTGCCTGTGAGCACTGGTCAGGCCTGGCGAGTGTCTGTGAGGATTAGGACATGTGTGGGCATCTCTGGTTAGGTGACCAGACGTCCCGGTTTTTAACAATTTGTCCCGAGTCCCGCGGTGGTTTAAAAAAGTCCCGATTTTTTATTCCACCGGATTTTTAAACCGCCGCGGGACTCGGGACAAATTGTTAAAAACCGGGGCTGTCCCGCCAAAAGTGGGACATCTGGGCACCTTAATCTCTGGGCATCTGTGGGGCATGATTGGTCTGCACGGCAGGAGGTTTAGGGGCTTGTCAGGGCTTCTGGGGTCAGCGTGGAGGTGGAGGAGTCACAGGGGCCTGTGGGTGCCCGTTTCTGCATGTAGGTCTCTGTTGCTCTCAGGAGGGGCCAAGGGGGCCATCGGGGCTGGAGGGGTGTGGCATTATGTGGGCTCAGGCTGGGTCAGGGCCTGCCAGGCTCAGTGTGGGCTGGGAGCCTGTGATGTGTGTTCGAACCCCCCCACTGACTGGGCTTGGGAGTCCCGGGGTACCAGGTGGAGACCGAGTGTCGGCAGACGGAGCTCAGCATGGCCGAGAGGGAGCAGGCCCTGCGCCTGAAGAGCCGGGCTGTGGAGCTGCTGCCGGACGGGGCTGCCAACCTCGCCAAGCTGCAGGTAGGGCTGGGGCTGGGCGTGGGGCTGAGGCTGGAGCAGGAGGGTCAGTGGAAGCGCCCAGACTGTGTAACACCTTCCCTCCTCCCACCATTCCCAGCTCGTGGTAGAGAGCAGCGCCCAGCGGGTCATCCATTTGGCGGGCCAGTGGGAAAAGCACCGGGTCCCGCTCCTTGCCGAGTACCGCCACCTCCGAAAGCTCCAGGATTGCAGAGAGGTAGGTGGTGGGGTCCTGGGCTGCAGGCAGGACAGGTTTGGTATTTGCCTAGGAGTCCGTCCCCCGTGCTCTGCTGACTGCCCTCTGTGTGTGGGGTCTTGACAGCTGGAATCTTCTCGACGGCTGGCAGAGATCCAGGAGCTGCACCAGAGTGTACGGGCAGCTGCCGAGGAGGCTCGCAGGAAGGAAGAGGTCTATAAGCAGCTGGTAAGGCCCGTGCTGGAGCCCTGGGTGGCTCAGGGTGGGCGGGCATGGGTCCTGGGGAGTGCCTGCTGGCTCTCTGCTTAGGTGTCCGAGCTGGAGACCCTGCCCAGAGACGTGTCCCGGCTGGCCTACACCCAGCGCATCCTGGAGATTGTGGGCAACATCCGGAAGCAAAAGGAAGAGATCACTAAGGTGCGCTGCCATGGCCATGGAGGGTGGGTCCTTTGGGCATGTCTGCTGTGTGTTGTGTGGCTGCACGGGGATTCCACACTCTGACAGGCAGAGCCACACATGACCCAGAGCAGTCCCACACAGTACACTCCGGTTCCCACTGACACAGTGACACAGGCCCTGTCTGGATGTGAGCTCATGCGCAGGAAAGCCTTTAGCTGGTCAGCTGCCCACCCCAGGCATAGGCTCACGGCCCTGGTCTCTGCCAGATCTTGTCTGATACAAAGGAGCTTCAGAAGGAAATCAACTCCCTGTCTGGGAAGCTGGACCGGACGTTTGCGGTGACTGATGAGCTTGTGTTCAAGGTGTGGGGCAGCCGGGGGCGGGCGGAGGGGGGTGAGTGGGGCTGAGCTGCTGCCTGCCCATGTGCTCATGGGCTGCCTTGGGCCTGGGCCCTGTGTGAGCCTTGCAGGTACACTGATGCTCAGGCCTGGCTCTGTTCCATGAGGATGACGTCATGGGGGTGGGAGAGGGTGGACTTGTGGGACCTGGAGGTGGTGCGTAGCAGGACAGCCCACTGATACCTCGGAGGTCCTTTGTCTGTTCAGGATGCCAAGAAGGATGACGCTGTTCGGAAGGCCTACAAGTATCTAGCTGCCCTGCATGAGGTGAGGGGAGAAGCACGCCTCGGGCTGGCAGGGGACGGGTGGGGTGGGGCGTAAGCCTTGTCTTCCTGCTATCCCCAGAACTGCAGCCAGCTCATCCAGACCATTGAGGACACGGGCACCATCATGCGTGAGGTTCGAGACCTTGAGGAGCAGGTGAGGCCTGGGGGTGAGAGGGGAAACCAAGGCAGGCCAGGGGGACAGCTCCTCAGTTTGTCCCAAGACAGGCTATGGAAGCAGACACAGCTTATGGCTGGAGTCTCTGCCCCGCCCCTGAGCCATGCACTTGACCTGGAACAGATCAGGGACCTGCTCTGAGCTCCGGCTTCTGCCCCACAGGCCCCCAGGCCTGCCTCCCAGGGCGTTGGCAGAGGCTTCAGCCTGAGTATGTGGTGGGTAATCCTGCCACGTAGGGATGGCACACTAAGGGGCCTGGCAGTGGGACAGAAGACTGTTGGGGTGGGAGGAGCCCAGGAAGGGCCCCGAGTGGCTCTGATGGAGGGGTGGTAAGCAGGAGCCGGGAAGGAAGGCCTGCTTGCTGTAGGGACATCATTCATGTTGCCTAGATTGAGACGGAGATGGGCAAGAAGACCCTCAGCAACCTGGAGAAGATCCAAGAGGACTACCGGGCCCTTCGCCAGGAGAACGCCGGCCTCCTGGGGCGGGTCCGGGAGACCTGAGGGGCCGCGGGGGGGGGGGGGGGGCTCTCCCTCACCCCAGGCTTCAGCAGGGATTGGGCGGGTTGGAAGTGCTGGCCAAGCGCTCATCGTACCTGTCCCCCGTGTTTGCTGCCCAGCCCCTCCCGCTGTGGTGACACCTGCCCACCGGACCCCAACCCTTATTTGGGGCGAACATCCAGACACTGGGAGCTTGGCTGCACTTTATTGGGGACAGTACTGGAGGTCAGGGCCTTCGATACCAAATAAATGAGGGGCTCTGTCTGCAGTCTAAGCTGAGGCATGGATGGGGGCACAGGGCTCAGGCGGGGCAGGGTGTGGGTGGCAGGTGAGACCCAGGGCATGTTTCGTTTGGCGAGTCGGTGTATGTGACCATGTGTGTCGTGTGGGACTCAGGAGACCCACTGGGGCACTGTGTGGGTGTGCGTGTGGGTGCGTGGTGTACAGGTGAGTTCTAATGGACTGTGTGACCAAGCGTAAGTGGTAGGAGCTGCGTGAGACTGTGACTGGTCTGTGTCCATGTGGCTTTCCAGGACCTGAGACCCTGAAGGCACTAAGGCTGCTTCTGTGTGGGTGTGTAGGCATCCCCCGTGTGACACTGCACCTAGGGCAGTGGTCGGCAAACTGTGGCTCTCGAGCCACATGCGGCTCTTTGGCCCCCTGAGTGTGGCTCTTCCACAAAATACCACGGCCTGGGCGAGTCTATGTTGAAGAAGTGGCGTTAGAAGTTTAAGTTTAAAAAATGTGGCTCTCCAAAGAAATGTCAGCCGTTGTCCTGTTGATATTTGGCTCTGTGGACTGATGAGTTTGCCGACCACTGGCCTAGGGGCCTAGAGGCTGGCTGTGGGGGTGTGCTCTGGGGTATGTGGGTTGACAGGCGTACTTGGGTGCGATTGTCTGTGTGACTGCAGATGTGAGGTTGTGTGAGTGTATTGAGACAGGCTCTTTGTATGAAGTCCTTGGGACAGGATTGTGACTTGTTTTTCAGCCCTAGGTTGCCTGTGAGTGCCCGAGGCAGGTTGTGTGTGTGGTCAATTGGGAAGGCTCAGTTTTCCTGCAGAGCCTGTCGTGGGGGGCTCTGATGGGGGTGCGGGGCTGAGGTCCCTCTGAGCAGCCTTGGTGCAGAGCATATGACCCAGGGGGTAGTCAGCTTGGTAGTAGGGTCCCTGGCAGGCAAGACAGTGCACACACTTCCTGGTCGCCGTGGGGATGTCCAGGCCTGTCACCCCCACCCCCTGCCACTATGCCCCCCATCTCGGCCCCTGTCCTTCCCTTCCTTGGCTGTGCAGTCAGGGGTCGGCTAGGGGGTTGAAGCGCCTGCTGGGCTTCTGGCTCCTCTTCTTGCGGAACTCAAACTCGTCCACGGTCCACACGGCCCCCTTCTCGCTCTCCACCCGCACGAAGCACTTGTGCAGGCTCAGGTTGTGGCGGATGGCGTTCTGTGGAAGGAGGGGCAGCCAGTCAGGCCGGGTGGAGGCAGCGGGCGGGCAGTCATCCTCTGACACCGGCAGTCTACCACAAACCAGCCTCCTGCCCCTTCCCGTCACGTGTGCAAGCCCCGCCCCAGGCTGGGCCCGGCACTGGTGGCATCTGAGACCGTCCTGGCCCTGCCGCCTCCAGAGGCACTCACCTTCCAGGTGGTGGGGTGGTTTCTGAAGAAGGCGAACATGCGAATGAACCAGTGGTAGATCTCACTGAGTGTCCGCTGCTTCTCGGGAGCCTCCAGGATGGCCTGGAATTCAGGGGGTGGGGGTAAGGGCATGTGATCTGGGGCAGGAGAAGGGAGGGAGGGCAATGGTGTGGAGGTGATGGATCAGACAGGGTTAGACTTGGGGTGAGGATGGGCCAGGATGGGGATCACCAGCTGAGTTGAGAGTAGAGTCCAGCTCAGGGTTAGGGCTGGCGTTAGGTTCAAGGTCTGGGATGGGGTTGGAGTGGGGTGAGGTTTCTAGGGGTGAGGTTTCAAGGTTTGGGAAGATTAAGGGCCAGCGTGAGGTCAAGTGAAGGGCTTGGAAGATGTGAAGGACCAGGCAGAGCCAGAGGTCAGGGAAGGGGTGGGTTAGACTCAGGCTGGGGACAGATAAGGACATCAGGAAAGGAGTGGGGTTCAGGCCAGCATTTGGCCTGCCCTGGCATGGGTGATGGTTTAGGTTTGGGTGTGGGGGCAGGTCTGGGGAATCACATCTGAGGGGTAGTTTTTTCTAGGAGGCCTCCCTGGGGGTGTTCAGAGGGAGGCTGGGGAGTGGTCCCCACTCCGTCTTCCTCTTCCTCCTCGGCCCGCGCTGTCCCGCTTACCCAGCGGATGAGAGTGGCATAGGTGAACGGGGGCCGCATGTTATGGAACTTGAAGTAGTCCATGTTGTGGAAGAACTCTGTCCGAGGAGGGAGAGGAGTCAGGCCCCCCTAAACCTCCTCACTCCCTCCTACCCTCCACCCTTCCCATGACCAGTTCCTATTGGCCGAGCACTGGCTGTAACCTGTCATTCACTGTACCACCCCCCGCAAAACGGTGTAACCTCTCTGAGGTTCAAAAGCAGGGAAGCCACTTCCACACCAAAAGGGCGTAATTGGTTAAGTGGTGGAACCAGGATGACACTCGAGAGCCCTGATCCCTGTTAAACCCACAGCCCAGGCCTTTTGGGTAGTAGGGACGCGGGACAAATTGTTAAAAATCGAGACTGTCCCGCCAAAAGCAGGATGTCTGGTCACCTTATTAGGGGATTGGTGAACTTGAGGGGGTGAGGGAGACCACTGGAAATCACATAGGTAGCTCCCTTTGACGATCAAATGGAATAGCTGAAGCCCCACTGCCCAGCGGAGATGGGGCTGGACATCTGAGATCCTGATGGGAACTTACAGGCCGCAGACACCCGGAGAGGAAGCCTGGCAAGCAGATGTGCTTGTCCCAAGGTGGCGGTGATGGGGAAGAGCAGTAGGGAACCCCACCCCATAGCACATCAGTCTGGGGGTCAGGGTGTCAGGGACACCATGCAGAACACAGACTGTTCTTACCTGGGAATGTGCTATGTCCGTGGCTGCCCCAGAGGTGCCTCCGCACGGCAAACAGGCCATTGGGGCCCTCCTGGGGGCTGGGCCAGGGCGGGACGGTGGCACCGGGGGTGCCAGCGGCTACAATGCAGCAGGAGCCCTTGTCAGATGACACCTGGGTGTGGCGAGGGAGAAGCTGCTGACCCAGAGGCCGAAACTTTCCACTTGAATTTTAAATAAGTGGGTGTTTTTAAAACTAAGGGCGCCCTGGCCTGGCCAGTGTGGCTCAGTTGGTTGAGCATTGTCGTAAAAGGTCACTGGTTCGATTCCTGGTCAGGGCACATGCTCAGGTTGCAGGTTCTGTCCATTGTAGGGTATGTAAAGGAGACAACTGATAGTTTCTCTCTCACGTCTCTTTCTCTCCCTCTCATCAATAAACACACAGACACACACACAAAAAAAAAACACTTAAAAGCAAGGGTGCTCTCTTCTCAACTCCAGTCTGGTATGTTTTCCCACAAAGCAGCAGGAGCTGTGCTTATCAGACTGTGGTGAGCTGCGGTTGAAATGGGCTCCATTACCCAGGTCACTTATGTCTGCCTGGCCTCAGTTTCCCTCACCTGGGGGTTAGGGATGATAGCAGTGCCTACATCACAGTGGCATCACGAGGACTGAGTGAGGTCACGCCAGCAAAGGGATCAGAAGCAGTGCCTGTGACCCAGGGCCCACCTCGCGGGCATGTGACCTGCACAGCCGTACAGGGCCCTCCCTTTGTTTCGTGCTCTGTGGCTGCCACCTTGAAATCCGAGGCCTGCGTTTTAATTTTGCTCTGGGCCCTGTGAGTCATACAGCCAGTCCTGCCAGTGACACACAGCCTGTGTCCATGAAGTGTCTAGCTACTTGATGTGGCTTTGAAAACAAGGTTATGCTATTTCAAGAGCTTAGGGTCAGAGGGGTTGTAAGTGGAGGGGTGTAGAGGCTCAGATCCGGGCATGTTTGGAGTTGGGAGCGGGGGCTCACGGATCCCAGGGCCCGGATGGAAGGATAGGTCCTCTGTACACTGCAGGGCCCGTCCCTGCCCGCTTCCAGCGGCAGTCTGTGCCGCCACGAGGCCGGGGAGGCTTACCACGGGTGGAGGCTTGGTCAGGGCCATCTTCCCGGCCAAGTGGGCCTGCATAGCACCCAGCTTCTCCTTCTCCAGCACCAGCTGTGAGGATAGTGACAGTGAAGCCTGCGCCTGGTCTCTTACCACCCTGTTTCTGCCCTGAGAGTGCCCTTCCCCCTTCCTTCCTTCATGTTAGTCTCCATCCGGGGTGAGCTCAGCCTCTGGCACAGGGTGGACATAGGTGTGCCCACCATCCCCCCACCATCACCCCAGCCACGTCACCTGCTGCTCCAGAGACTGCACCACCTCCCTCTGGAGGAGACACTGCGCCCTGCCCTTCTCATCCAGGAGATGGTCCGCCTGGCAGTGCCTGGGGAGGGGGAGAGTCCATGCGGTGGCCATGGCAGGCCTGGCCTCGTGGCTCAATGTTCTCAATGGGGAGAGCTCAGCCTCTAACCCCTCCACCTCAGTCTCCCTCTCACACCCCTCATTCCTTCAACACATGCTGCTTGGTATCTCCTCTGGGCCAGGCCTGAGCGGGCCACTGGAGCCTGGCCAGGGTGTTGGAGATGACTTAGAAGGAGGTAAGCTGGGAGCAGCCAGGTAGGTGAGAGCAGGAAAGGCATTCCAGGCGGAGGGAAAGCCTGGTGGTGACGAGGATAGGATACACTGAGTTGCCAGTGATAGTCGGGTAAGATTGGAGAAAGTGTGTGTGTGTGTGTGTGTGTGTGTGTGTGTGTGTGTGTGTGTTTGGTATCTGGAGGTCTCTGGTTGTGATGAAGCTAAGAAGAGGCAGCAAAAGCCATTTTGAGGAGCTGGGACTTTGGGGATCAATAAAATCATCCTGGTGTGTTGGCATGACAGGTAAAGCAGTAGAGAGCAAAGCAGGAGAGGTGTGGATTCTGGAGCCTGGCTACCTGGGTTCAAATCCCACTTCTGTCACTTAGGAACTGGGTAATCTCGATCAGCACACTGAACCTCTCTGGCCTGTTGCTTTGTCTCTAAAACAATAGTACAGGTAAATAACAGTACATGTGCCTAGTAGTATGCCCCATATATAGATGAGAAAACCAAGGTCCAGGGAAGCTAAGCAACCTGCCCAAGATCTTACAGCTAGTGATGGATGGAGCCTGGATTTGAATTCTCAGTCTCAGCTTTTGCCTTTTTTTTTTTTTTTTTTTCATTACCTGAGGATATATTTTCCATAGATTTTTAGAGAGAGTGGAAGGGGGTGTGTGTGCATTTTTAGAGAGAGAGAGAGAGACAGAGAGAGAGAGAGAGAGACATGGATGTGAAAGAGACACATGGATTGGTTGCCTCCTGCACATGCCTAGACTGGGGCCAGGGATTGTAGGTATGTGCCCTTGGCAAATAATTGAACCCACAACCCTTTGGTATGCAGGCCGATGCTCCAACCACTGAGCTACAGAAGCCAGGGCTGAGCTTTTGCCTCTTTTATCAAATTACTACCTACCAGGGTGAGGCCTGAGCTGAGACCTGCACCCCAGACCTCCTCCCACAAACGGGACCACCCTGGACTGGATTAGGCCTGGGCCACTCACTTGAGGAAGTCCTCTGGCTCCTCAAAGACCTTCTCACATCCGGGCCACTTGCAGACGCCATTTGCCAGCAGTGAGTAGGAGCCCTGGGGCACGGTCGAGAGGGTGCTGGGGGGACAGATGGTGTCAGGGGAGGGAACACCAAGGCAAGGGTCCTTTCCAGCCGTGCCCACTGACCTGTCTTTCCTGGGTGCACCAGGGCTTGGGAAGGTGCAGAGCAGTGTCGGCTCCCTGGACACCCACTCCAGGCTGGTCATGTTGATCCCTGTGGGCGGGGACAGGGCACCTCTGGAGATGGAGGCTCTGAGCTGGGCTCTGAGGCTCTCAAGGCCTCTCCTTTTGAGTTTCCCGCCCTCCTGAACCTCTGGGAGCATCTCAAAGATTGCCATTCGCAACGGCTGACATTTTGATGAGCTCTGCAAAGATCTGCTTCCGTGATTTCGATGTTCTGCACCTTTCAGGTTCTGAGCCTGACATTTTCCGGAGGCTGGAGTTTCCGAGATGACAAAACCCGACCCCTAACCCTTGAGGGCCGCAATTCAGCAGCCTCCACTGCTTACAGTCAAGGACTTGGGGGCTCTGGGATTCTGTGGGGGCTGCGGGGTGTGGTATTACCAGGTGGCAGGCCAGGCCGGGCCTTGAGAGAGAAGACCCCAGTGGCAGCAGTGGGTGGTGGGAGGCTGATCATAGCTGGTCTGTCCAGTGGGTGCACCTGCAGCACGGGGGTCCGGGCATGGGCATCCACTGTTGAGAGCTGGGGGCACATAGAGACTATGGTTCCACCTGGCCTCCTCCCAATTCCCTCACCTCCTCCCTCCTCCCAATTCCCCCACCTCCCCCTCCTCCCTGCCGAGTCACCGTCCATACCTGGTGCATGAAGTGTGGCCTGTCTTGGAGGAGTGCCTGCAAGTGGGGCGAAGGACCCAGCCGTGTTCCAGAAGGTGTCACCATGACTAGGGGCACTGCGGGCACCTGCGGGGAGAAGGCAGGCAGGAGAGATGCCATCCGCATCCTCACTGTTCTAAATGTCGAATTCATATGCTCCTCACCACAACCCCACGTGGTAGGCACTAGGACCATCCCCTTTATACATATGTAAAAACTCAGGCTCAGGGAGATTGGGTGACTTTCTAAACATCAACCAACTAATAAGTGGCAGAACGGGCCTCAACTCTGTCACTCATGTCCTAGGGCCCCATCCTCTCTTCTGTCACGTGGGGATGGGGACACATGGCCATACCTGTGGGACCATGATAAAGCTTCCTCTCCTGAGCGGGATTGGGAGTTTGGGGAGAGCCTCGGGTCTCTGAGACCTGCTAAGTGGGGATTTTCTTGGCCCCGTGACATCTGCATAAGTCACAGACTTGCCTGGGACCCAGAAAACCACTTCCTGTGCCCCAGCCGGGCCCCCCGCCCGGTGCCACAGTAAAGGTCGGCACCTGTAGGCCCAGGTACTCCACCCTGCTTGCTCCATCCTGGGCCCCGGGCCTCACCTGCAGCTGTGATGGTGGCATGGGGTTCAAGAAGGAGGAGGAGGCATGGGCCCCACCTCGGAGGTCCCGTCCCTGGAAGGTTGCCCCCGGGCCCTTGGCCCCCAGCAGGTCTGAGGTCTTGGGTGCAGCCCTCCAGCTGGACGAGACTCCTGGGGATGGGCTGAGCACCAAGGACGGGGCCAAGGGCTTGGTTGGCCTGGGGTTGGGCATCGGGTCCTTGTCCAAGGTCAGGCTGTGGAGACATCGGGAAGACAGTTATACATGAGCTGGTGGCGTGCAAATACTCAACCACCTGAACCATGACGACATCCTCTCTGGTGAGAGCAGTCATTGGCTGGGACATGCCCCAAAGGACCCCACAACTAGACCCCAGCTCTGATCATGGTGCATGCACAACTACACACACATTGGTGCCAGGAACATGAGTGTGTGTGTGTGTGTGTGTGTGTCTGCACACATGTCCCATATGCAGAATTACACCATTCAGCATGTGGCGTGCCTGCACATGCTGGCATAGCCCTGGTGGGGATGTGTTCTCTAGAGGGCATTGGGGTTTGTGGGGCCTCAGCCACGGTAGGTCTCTGCTCCTTCCCCCGTCTCTTGAGGCCTTGAATTCAGGCCTCAGCCCTCTGGTCCCCCCTGAAACTGGCATCGGTCACACAACCTTTGCTGATCCCACTGGGACTGTGGTCTCTGATTTTCTTCTGGGAGCATAGTTTTACCCCAGTGACGGGCATATCTGGGAGTGGCAGGGGACATGGACTCAAAAGATCCCACTGGTTGCTGTGAAGGGACAGACTCTAGGAAGGTGAGGGCAGAAACAGAGGACTAGCGAGGAAGCTACTGCAACAGTCCCAGGAGGTGACGATGGTAGCACAGATCAGGATGGTGACAGTGGAGATGGTGAGAAGTGGGTGGATTCTGAGCATGTTTGGAAGGTGGAGTCAGAGAACTTTCTGGTAGCTTGGATCTGGGGCTGAGAGAGAGAGAGAGTCAAGGTGACAGAGCAGCTGTAGGGACAGCTGATGTGACCAGGGATGAGGGAGATGGAGGAAGCAAGAACGGGGTGATGATTCAGATGTGGATGAACATGAAGGGTCTGGCATTAGACATACTAGTGGAAATGCTGAATGGGCAGCTGAGTACAGGAGTCTGGTCATCTCTGGGCTCTGCCCTGTACAGGACTGCTATGGTAGGTGGCAGACAGGAGGAGAGACAGGCTCTCTTGAGCAAGAAGGGCCTGTGGAGCGCCTCAATTCAGTCCCCATCAGAATCTACCCCAGCCTGCCCCAAAGCCTTTATGCTCATGCCGTTTGGCTTGCCTGGAATGCCCACTCTTCCCTGTCCAAGGCCAATCCAGAGAGCCCTACATAGTGGCTCTAGAACCCTATACTTTCCAACAGGCAGAGCTTTGGTTTCCCAGAATCCTGTAATCCCAATCTGAGAGAAGTCAGAGCTAGAAGGGACTGCCCAGTCCAACCTCCATGTTACGAAGAAGACACCCAGGTGCAGCATTCCACAGTCCTGTGGTGACTGGTTGCTCCACTCTTTCTCCAGAGAGGGTGTGTGTGTGTGTGTGTGTGTGTGTGTGTGTGTGTGTGTGTCCACATGTCACAGGCCCCCTGCTGTGGGGCTGTGTGTGTCTCCAGCCTCACCCAACAGTATAGGGTGGGGCACACAGCTGCCGAGAACAGCCTGAGGAAGTATGAGGAGGGTTCTGGGGGAGTGCTGGCTCCTTCCTTTCTTTGCTGTCAGCCATGGGGGTTGTCAGAGGGAGGTGCTGAGGGAGGCTGCGTGAAAATTCAGATACTCAACTCTTCATCTCCCCTGGGGGTTAGAACATTGCTGGGTGAGAAACAGGAGGCTCAGGATAAGAGCCTGAGCGAACTTTAGTGACAAGAAGGTGAATGAAGGAATGAGCGGATGAATGAAGGTGGAGATCAGGGTGATGCTTCTACAAGCCAGGGAAGGCCAGAAATTACCAGGAAATCACGGGAAGCTAGGAGGGAGGCCTGGACACTTCCTCACTACTCTAGAAGGAGTGAATCCTGCCATCACCTTGATCTAGGACTTCAGGCCTCCAGAACCAAGACAATACATTTCAGTTAAGTCACCCAGTTTGTGGTACTTTGTTACAGAAGTGGAGCAAGCTAGTGAGTGGATGTTTTCCATTACCCTGACGTGGTCCACACAGCTTCCTGAGGTCACTTCTGAGGCTGCCTGGACACTTGGCCAGAGCTTATAAAAAATCTCCCCAAACACACGTGGAATGGCCTGACTCAGGGAAGCAGAGATCCATTCTGAGAAAGGGGACATGGGCATGGTCTGTCTGGTGGTGGGTACGCGAGGGCTGGGCTGGGCAGCCAGCTTCCTGCACTGTCTGGTGGGGCGTCCCTTTCTGACTATTTCTCAGAAGACGCATGGAGGATGTTTCTGGGACATAGATTGTGTTTTCATATCGGGGTCCACATCCGGGCCCTATTGTCAGAGCCTCCAACTTCCCCAGGTTTTTCCGCCATTGACGTCACAGCGGCCGGATGTGCTGGGCTTCATCGGCGCCCAGGAGGAAGACAAGGGGGCAGATACCCCGACCCACACGTTTCGTTCCGAGAATCGGCTGGCCCATCCTGCAGCCGGTGTGGCCCACGTGGGGTGATGAGGGTGCTGGCGGATGTGGTGACATCCATCTGGCCACCATGACAAGCCCTGGGCCCTGTAGACCTGGCCCTTCTCAGGCAAGAATAGGTCCGAGCTTTGAGGCTTGAGGAGTTCCATGCAGATCCCATAGATACTGGGACCCTCGGGGTCTTTAAATGGTATTAAACCAGAGCCTCAGAGTCACGGAACATCATTACTTAGATTAAAAGGACCTCAGGATCTCAAACCCACAGACTCTATGGGGTCCACGGGCCCAACTTCTTGGTTCGTGAAAACCAATGTTCCTAGTATCCAAACAGACTGAAAAGCCCCGAAGGACAGAAAGCTCACTACTTCATTGGGTCTTTCACCTACCAGGTCTGGGATTGCAATGCACCTATCCCCACCCCCCAGTCTCCCTCCTAAGTCCTGTGAAGGCAGGAGAATCAGTATTATCCCCTCTCCTTTCCCAGCCCGTGGCCAGGCTCTGCTACTAACTAGCTACCATTCTCCTCAGGCTCCTCTGTGAATCGGGACAATAACAATCTCCATCTTCCATGAAAAGCTTAGCAAAATGTCAGTGATAATGGACACCGCAGGCCCTGGGTCTCCCTGTCCATTCTGGGACAATGTTCCAGACTCACAGACTCTGCCAGAGACGGGGGAGGAAGACAGGGGAGGTTGAGGCTGGCGCACCTTTGGTGAGGGCCTTGTGGCGGGAAGCATGAAAAGCCCTGGCCTTTGCTAGTAGAGATTCCACCACCAGGCTCGCTGGAAAGGCGCTGGGAACCAGTGCCAACTCTGGGGACATGGCTGAGCTCTGTCCATAGCCAGATGTCCTCTGCCTAATGTCCTCCTAGTAACACCACGCTCTGCCCACGAGGCCTTCTTTCCCATGGGGCCCTGGGACCCACCTAGCTAGCTCTTGGGAGGTTAAGCCCCACCATGTGACCATGGATCCTCCTGCTTTAGTGAGGGCCCCACCTGTGAGAAGACAGGATGAAGAATGGCAGCAGATGGGGGGCAACCCATGTCCCCTTGCCCCCTCATGGGTGCTGAGAGGTAAACTGAGGCTCACAGTGGGGGGTGGAGAGACAGAGTAATGGTTCCACTGAGAGTCTTAAGAGCTGAACTAGGGTTTCAACTCTGCCAATGTATTTCTGTGAGGACTGGGGAGAGGCCCTCTCACCCGTTTCTGGGCTTCAATTTGCTCCTCTTATACACCGGGAAGGGGAGAGATGTAGAGTAGGTGAGAGCCAGGGCCCTTCCGCTCTGTATCTGGGCGAGCTGTTGGGTGTAGAGCTTCAAGTTGACAACTGCTCCTCTATCCCGGGGACTGAGAGACAGGGATACATACAGACTCACAGAGACAAAGAGAGATGGAAACAAAGAGACCGACACAGGGGAAGAGAGCGACATAGAGAACAAGAGATACAGAGAGAGATGGAGAGACCTGAGGTGGGATAGGGATAGAGAGACAAAGAGAACAATTGAGATAGAGATACTGAGAGCAGAAACATAACATACATATAGATGATAGATAGATAGATAGAGAGAGAGAGAGAGAGAGAGAGAGAGAGAGAGAGAGAGAATGCCCCAAATAAGAACAGTTGCTGGCCTCTGAATGGTGCCTGAAATGATGAGGAGTAACAAAGGGCAACATGGGGCTACACTAGCGCTGGGTATTGGATTGTGTTGCAAAGCAATAATCAGCAAAGTGGTACGGTTCTGGTATAAGAGCAGACACTGAGGAACAGAACAGAATAGGAAGCCCGAACGCAGACCCATGCCTACAGGGAATGGAGTGTGTGAGGACTGCCCAAACTGGGAGATGGTGTAGGACAGATGGTTTAACCAATGTTTCTGGGACAATGAAGGGAAAAATAAAATGATTGAATGAATAATGAGTCAATTTTCCCACTCACCCCTCCCTGCCCTGTTTGAAATATCAGCACCATCATATAACCTAAAATAAATTCCAGACCCATTAAAAAGAGTAATAATAATATCTAATATGGATCTTGGGTTTATTGTATTCCTGGCCCTATGCTAAGAACTTAACATGGGACCAGAGCTTATAAGAACTCTCATCCCCAAACACATGTGGAATGGCCTGACTCAGGGAAGCAGAGATCCATTCTGAGAAAGGGGACATGGGTATGGTCTGTCCGGTGGAGGGTACGGGAGGGCTGAGCTGGGCAGCCAACTTATTGGTATGTAGATGGGTAGGATTAATTCTCACAACTACTGTTGAGGTAGGCACTATTATTACTACCACAGTATGTATGAGGAAATGGAGGTACAGAGAGTTTAAATGCCTGGCTAAAAATCACACAGATGGCTTGGGGTGAGGCTGGGTTTGTCACAGACAGCCTGACTCCAACACATGTGAGTGAACACACTTCATTTTCAAGTGGGAAAGGACTTTCTTTTTTTCTTTTAAAAAAATATATTTTCTTGATTTTTTACAGAGAGGAAGGGAGAGGGGTAGAGAGTCAGAAACATCAATGAGAGAGAAACATTGATCAGCTGCCTCCTGCACACTCCGTACTGGGGATGTGCCCGCAACCAACGTACATGCCCTAGAACCGAACTTGAGACCCTTCAATCTGCAGGCTGACGCTCTATCCACTGAGCCAAACTGGTCAGGGCGGGAAAGGCCTTTCTAAGCACAAAACCAACGATAGTATCCACAGAAGAAAAGGCTAATCTATTGGACTATATAAAAACATCACAAGTATCACAAAACACTGTGAACAAATAGAAAAAAATATTTGCCATATATGTAGGGCTGATGGAAGGTTAAGATCCTTTTAAATAAAGAGCTATGGTAAATCAATAAGAAAAAAAGATGAACACCCTATTAGGATGAAGGACACCAGACCCCCCAAAAACACAAATAGGCAATAAACAGTTGTAATAAAGAATGTAAATTTCAACAATGTGGTAATATTTTTTCTTACCTGTTATGTTGAGAAAAGATTTAAAAATGACAATACCCACCCAGGGTTAGACCGAGTAGAGGGAGCATAAAACAGCACAACCGTTGGAAGAACAGTTTGCAGAGAGGGTCAGAAACCTTAAAAATGTACACACGCTTTGCCATAGAACTCTATTTTCAGGAATCCAAGAGACTAATCAGGGAAGATTATGGGGGGAAATGAGAAACAACCCAAATGCCCATCGCTGGGCATTTGGTCGAATCAATCATGGTTCATGCCAATGTGAGGTCAGTTTTGACAGCTGTGAAAGATCATATGCTAAAGCAATCTTTAGTGATCAACAAAAATGCTCCCATTAATTGAATAAAGCAGGGACAAAGCCAATAAATAGTGTGATTCCAATTTAGTTAAAAAAATACTAGCAGCTAAAACTTTAGTGAACACTTGCTAAGCCTGCAGAGATGAACTCATCCCAGCCTTGAACAGCCTGTTCTGTTCCCGGACATGGACTCTGGACACACACACACACACACACACACACACACACACACACGGTCCTGGGATTAGGACCACACAGTTAAGCCACGGTTGACAATGGCATGAAGTGCCTTCCACGAGAACAAGTTCAGTTAAGTCCACAACCTGACCCGACAGCTCATGGTCCTCCTTTGAGCGGAGCACACAGAATTGATGATCATTCTTATAAAATGTAAATGTCCACATCAGCATTTCTCAACACTCTGTTATTGAGTACCAATTGTGCGTACAGTTCTATGCTGTATGCTGGGTGGGAACGCAAGATGAGAGAGCAGGTGAGATGGCGGGAGAAAGACTGAGGAAAGGAATCAGACAGAGTGTGGTCCAGATGGAGGGCACAGACAGAAAAAATGGTCAGAGGAGACAAACACAGAAGGATGGAGATTCTGAGTGCCAGGGCAACAGACAGAGAAAGAGTGTGTCAGATAAACATGGAAT